ACCTGAATAAATAGTAAATAAACATTTTCTAACAAAAAGTGCAAGGTAACAAGTAGAAAAAAATAAAAATGCACAAAGAACTTGTATGGAGGTTTTTCCATCTACAGATTTTTCCCTGACCTTCTTTTCTCTGTAAATTAAGGGTGCACACTATTGCTGAAAAACACAATCAGTACTCAGCAGTCAGAAAGGCACAGATCCCTAAACAAGACCATATCTGCAGATGAAACTTTGTTTGTAGAAGCATTTTTTTTATTTGAACTAGCACCTCATGACTAAACCACGTTATGTACGAGCTAGCACCTCATGACTACACCACGTTATGTACGAGAAGCTGCAAAAGACACAGGCGCAAGTGGAATGTACAAAACATGGTGACATAATTTTTTTAAGTAAATATAATGGGCGATATATTGCGTCACCAAAAATGATTGAGGTCATGTACATATATTGCGCGATAAGTCAATATATTGATTACTGCGACAAGCCTAACTGAAATAAAGTCATACAGGTTAGGAACAACCTTTAACTGAGGTTCTGAGGTCTCACCTGACTGACTTCACTGTCTGTAGATCGGCCTCTCTTATCCTCCGAGATCTCCTGAGTAAAACATATTCACACACAATGTATAGTAAGAGAAACAATTCTGTGACTAAAGGTCAATAAAAGATAAGAAAAGAGCATGATGGGTGGTTCTGAGTCATTAAAAAACGAGAGAGATCCTCTGCAGTCTAGACTGAGACAAGAGGAATAATGAAAGAAAGTGGTTTACCATTGTGCCTGTTGCAGGAGATGGAGGGATGGGGGAAGAGGAAGTGGTGGAGGTCGGTGTGCTGCTGGACTGAAGGAACATCTCATCTTCAATATGGCCCTGAGGAGACGTTGCCATCAAAGTTGTTGCTAGAGAGAAAGAGATATTTATAAATGTGACCTATCTAGACAAAGCCATTTCATTTAAAAACATCCATCCCACACACACAGACTTACGTATCTCCTCCAAGTCCAGATCATCATAGAGGAACTCGTTCTCTTCAAAGTCTGGGTCTTGCGAAGAGTCAATGTAATACTCCACATCATCTTTGATCTTATGGATAGCGTCAACCTGGATCGAATCATTATCCAACATCCTCAAGATGGTCTCTAGCATACGAATGTGGTGCCGGTGTCTTTCAATTAACCTCTTTAGCTCTTCAATCCGATCCTGCTTCTGAAAACAAACACAATAAACAGCTTTCTATAGAACAGAACTGTGTGAGAAGCTGAGAACAAGTTGAGGTCTTTAACAGTGAGGGTTCACATAATAGTGAATGTATATAAAGGAAAGCTAATCTATAATAAAATAGTTAAGCACTGGGGGGAAATGGAAAAATTGAAATGCCGACCTCTTTGTCTCCTTTCTTCTTCCGTGTTTGAACAGAGAGGGACTCAACTTCACTCTCAAACTGGTCCACCTGCATGTTCAAAGTGTCTATTGTGTTCTGCGAGAGAGAGAAATCATATCATTAGTGCACTACTTGCATCCTGTTCAAAGTTTTTCTACCCCCCAATGTTATCCATGAGCCCTCTTGTACCGTGAGCCACTGTTCCATTTCCTCCTTCTCTCTCTGCGCCGGGTCAACTTTCTGAGCCAAGCCCAGCCCCTCTTTAGAGTAGGCCTTTGTCTTGGTTTCTCTTTCAACCACCTTAAATCGCTCCATTTGCTGAGAAGAAAGAGACAGAGATTCAGGTTAAGGGGGGCAAGCTTGACCGATTAAACGTGTGAAATACATCTAAGAACTCATGGGGCAAAATTTAAATGTTATGCCAAGGCACAGATATTTTTTATCAAAAGTACAAAAGAATTTTGAACACTGTGATAAGTGCATTAAAATAAAATAGCATTGAGGAATCAGGCAAAACCCTTGTACCGTTTCAATAAGCTTCCGGTTCTCCACTAGCTGCCGTTTGTCTTTGATCTCATTGGATGCCACCCATGTCTTAATCTGGTCTCGTAGCCGCTAGGAAGAAAAACAGGTGAGAACAATTATACTGATTGCGAACACATATTTTTCTCTTGGTTCTAAAGAAAGTGTACAATAATTCATTCTACGCAACAGCTAGTTTCACTTCTCTAAATTCATTGCCCAAGAAGTGTTCCAAGAGTGCTAACACTTAGTCCAACAGCAAGAAACGGTTCTCTGTTTGTAATTTTTCCATTTATCCATGTTCACACAATTCCAGAAAGCCTTAAAATACGCTAAATGTCAAATAAGCACATCCTCACCTGGAGCTTTTTTATCTCTTTCTTGAGATCGGCCTCATATTTTTCCTTCTGATTGGCATTGGCTGCATTATGAAGCTGAGAATGAAATGGATTATTAAAATATAACAGCAGGTGCACAATTCCTTTGACTTTTTTGCATTACATATTGGTTGTTGAGGTGTTAACATCTCACCTTTTTCCAAATGTCTTCAAACTGTTCGACGCCTTCAGTAACTTTTTTCAAACATCGATCTATTTCACCTGGTTGTGTAAAGCATATGATTATGCATAAGTCACAAGATCATATTATGACTCAGAAAACCTCTGAAAAGAAACTACTGCGTACAAGCAATTGTGGCAGGGGAGAGTAGAGAAAAAAAATATTTTCTATATCATATCACCTTACCTTGTAGTTTTCTCTTATCAGCCATGGCTTCGCTATGATACTGTCTTCATACCTTCTGTCACTGCAAGCACATCAGAGAGACTGGTAACTTATACAGTATTCAGTGTGAGGCAGATGGTAAGTGTTTCTACTGCTCCTAAGATAGATCTCATCTCAATAGAAAAGGCTGATATCATAACACCCCGCTTGATTAATTTGCATGAGCCCAGAAAACGATTAATACCTTCAAAGTTATATTTTAATCGAGTTCTTTCCAGGTCAACAAATACACGCAACTGCCACCTTTGCAATCCCCCTAAATAAGAGAAATTATGAAGAATTTTAATGACAGCAAGCCTCGATCGTCCTCATAGTTTAAATTACTTAGACAATAACGCCAACACAACCACAGTGTGTTTACGCAGATTTACGCAGCCTCTGATCACTGAGCACTAGCCACCAAGAAGCTAACGTGTTATATCAGCAGCATTTCATCGCCATATCTCATCTGCACTGATAATATGTCACCCTGGCAGTATATATAGAATGTATACTGTATATTTCTGCAGTTATCATGGATTAAGCTGCTCTTGTTGTGATATCGAGCAGCGCTGACGGCTAACGCTCTGCTAGCACACTTATAGTATTTCCAACAGAAGGTGTGGGGGATTTAAACTCTTAAATTGAATACACAGTCGTCGTATACCTTTTTCAAACGTGTGTAATATTCGTCAGTATCTCTATGTGACAGCCACGACCAATATATCCGCCAATTCCTTATTTCAAATTTGGTAATGTTTTTAGCTCGTCAATCCCCCTTCTGTTAAAGTACATTAAAGATGGACGGCAGACTCCGCCCACCGCTCGCTCCTGAAGTTCCCGCCTCTCGTCTTTTTTCGTTCTTATGATTCATTCAAAATGTCTGTCAATCATTTCTCAAGTTGTGACCATTTCCGCTGGGCCGCAAATCTCATTTGGTTGAAATATTAGGTGAAAGGTTATATTTACGGAAAAAGACCATTCCTTTTACAAAAATGAACTTCTCCTGGGCCTAACACATTTTTTCTTTATTTGTAACGACTGTACTAGTTTGTATAGAAAAAGTTCATAACTGAAAAAAAGAGTGAGGGTCGTTTGAGTGTGTAATAATGATAACATTTTATTTGATTAGATTTTATTTCAGATTTTATTTCTAGGTACAAAATTTAAATAACAGAAAAACATAATACTTTAGATATGGGGCCTATAGAAATCTATGGGAATTTTCAATAGCTACTATAATAATACATAATAATCATGATTTACCTTCTTGACTGAATCAATTTATCTTTTTTTTTTTTGTCTCCCTGGACTATATATGATAAAATTTGAAATAATTATAATCATAAAATAGAAAATGTTATTCCCCCCTCCATAATCTCTTATTAGAACAATATATTTAATAACATAAATGGGAATCTTTTTTTTTTTTTAATAAATATATGAGTAAAAATAGCTCTCTTTAACATTAATTCATTATTTTACCCAGTCAGATACTTACATATTTATTTATCCTTTTCTCTTTGTGAAATCTTGAACCGCTTAGATATTCCCCCCTCCATAATCTCTTATTAGAACAATATATTTAATAACATAAATGGGAATCTTTTTTTTTTAAAATAAATATATGAGTAAAAATAGCTCTCTTTAACATTAATTCATTATTTTACCCAGTCAGATACTTACATATTTATTTATCCTTTTCTCTTTGTGAAATCTTGAACCGCTTAGTTTGTTTTTTACCAATTTACTCAAAATCTTTAGAAGAGTATTGACATCTTGATTGTTAATGTTTTTAAACTATTTTTATAACGTATATACTTATATAAAGTATCATATTACGTATATAAATGGCCATTTCAATTATGCTGAATGTTTTATTAAGCATTTCATTTCATTCCACATCTCCAAATGCCGATATATAACCTCTTTTCACTGCTTCATTATGAAAGAAATAATACATTATACAAGCAAAGTATCAAAGTCTATTAACAAAACATAATCAAAAATATGTTCTACCCTTAAGGTTTTCTGCCTTATTCTAATTCTTTGTTTTATATGTCTGTGGATTATCTTCAGTGCTGTGCATAATTTGACTGAACATAACTAAACGTTAACTGCAAGTAACTGTATAGTCAAAATAAAATAAATGTTAAATATCACCAGTAATCAAATAGAATATAAATGTAGCAAACAAGCTCTTCGGCACTGAAGATAGTGCTGTGGAGTACCGCGCAAAAGCGTGTTTTATCTCCAAGATATGGGCTGGCCAGACCGAATGTATTTCATGATTGTAACTTACGTTTATCACGTCAATCATCCTGTTGCCTCCGCCTACCGCGTCGATAGACTTCCTGAAAACGCTCGTGCCTCCCCTGCAGCTCAGGAAAGCTGGAAAACTCGCCGTGTAGGGGGGCAAAAAAACAAACAAACAAACAAACAAACAGGTAAGTCCTGTTTTACTTTCGCTTTGTCGTTTATTGTTATTATAGTCATTAATTTCCGTAAGACACATAAAAGTTTCTAGTTCGCCCTATTTGATGAACAATTTAAATAGAAACAGATCCGTTTTCAGGTTGATGTCTCTGAGCTCTCGTCAGCTTGGCTATTTAAAATGACACTAGCAACATGTTTGCTGAATACTCTATATTCTCTTCATCGATAGAACCGAATTTTGTCTTTACCAGCTTTAAGGTTTTAACTGCCACCGTTAAGTACAAACTGAAGTCCACTCATATCCATATGATGTGCTAGTTTCTTGTGTTGGCCTGTCATCAGCTAGCTGTGTTTATATGTGATTTTGGCTCTTAGTCGCTAAGAAACTGCAGTTACACTTATTAATTTTCTTGCGACTAGTTTCTATGATGGTTTAAAATCGCATTTTGCCTTTGGAACAAGATAGCGCAGAAGCTATTTGTTTCTGCATTCACTTATGATCATACACCATAAACTATCAAATGTCACTAGATGAGCTGACTTTTGCATGTAAAACCCTGATTTAATACAAGTACACTCAGATGATAAAAGCCTGATTTCCCACTTGTAACAATTAAATAAACTTGTGACTGTGACAGCTGACTGTCCACCTGTCACGTTCTGAGACACTTTGTAATTGTATGAAGTTGTTATTTGATTTGTAATGTGACAGAGCTTTGGATTTTTACCTTTGCTCAACTGGCACAATTTTATTTTTTTATTTATTTCATAACCACTCACCTAAAAAAAGATCTACGCAACCGTGAGCAAAGGTCATTAGTGCTTTTATTTTATGATCTGTGAGGTCGCAACTGACTAATTATAGTCAAAGGCTTTGAAATTGCTTTGGCGTATCTGAATAAGTCTTGAAACTATCATATCATTGATGCAGTAAAAGTCTTGATGATAAAAGGGACAAAGTGTGCACTCATGTGGGAGAACCCAGACAGTCAACAGAGCTCCTTTTGGCTCCTGAAAGGTAAAGCTTGAGACAGCCTGAGAGAGGAATGTACTTTTGGTCTACTGTGGGTTTTGATTACTTGATGGTGACTCCGGCCAACTTTTCAAGGACACATGAGGACAACGTGGACATCACTTTTTTTGGTTGTTTTTTGTTTTTATTCTTAAACAATAATTTCACAGGAGTCTTAACAAGCAGAAAATTAAAGTGCATGATAAGAGTCACATATTTCTGCATTTTGATCAAATTCCAAAACAAAGCCCGCAGATGTTGAACTACAGCTAAAACATCCTACACAGCCATCCATTTCATCCCAGATGTTTACAGACTGTGTAAACATTAGGCCTCTCAATTGCAGGAGTTTTCTGTCAGCCATAAACTCATACTATGAGAGCCTAATCTGTTGAATCAGTCGTCAGTTCACATTTCAAACATTCCTGTTCTCCACTTAGTTGAAATTGCGATTACATCTCAACTCTAGTTTTCATTCACGGTCCTGGTGTCGCGTTTCAGGCTCAATTGCGGAATTTACATATGCAGTGTCATCCAAGATTGATGCCGGACAGGTGTAATTCCACCCAGACTGGTTTTCTTCTCTGTTTGGATCAAAATGACATAGCCCTGCATATTTGTGTTGCCTAACACTGTCAAAACTACAAGTACTTGAACATTTTGAATAATGAACTTTGTATTTAGACTGTAAATCACACTTCCCCAGACTAGCAGTTGCCACACTCTTTCTGTTGAGAAACAGAACCATATTGTTCAGCATGTTCCTTTTTGCTGATGTCAGACCTTTGAAGATATTGTACAATTTGTTATCGGATTACTTAAGACTGTTAAGGTTAGGTGCAAGTCAAGGGTCAATTCATCACATTCCATTAGATAGGCAGTAAAGATGAATTCTGAATTCTGATGCGTAAGATACACTACCGTTTAAAAGTTTGGGGTCATTACAGGTTTTTTTTTTTTTTTTAATTTATTACAAATGAATAATTTTATTCAGCAAGGATACATAAAATTGATCAAAAGTGACTGAAAGGATGAAAGACACTGAAGACTGGAGTAATGGCTGCTAAAAAGTTAGTTTTTTTGCCATTACAGGAATACATTACATTTTAAAATATATTAATATAGAAAGTTATTTTAAATTGTATTCAGAGACTTCTTTCAAGAACAAAAAAAACCTTTGAAAGGTAGTGCATCTTCCATAACAAAAGGTCCTCAACTTCTATTCAGAATAATATATTGTTCATGTTCTAAGGGTTCATATTACTTGACCTATTTTGCTTTGTAGGATGTAGAATATCGCATTTAACTTCGAAATGTAATCCTTCTCTTTCTGTCTCTCTCCAAACCTTTTCTTCTCTATGTAGCAGGGCACCTTTAACGTCGGATAAAGAGGTTTACCATGCCTTGAGACCCTGTTCCAGCACTCATACTCTCTGTATTCTGTTTTATTTCTTTTCCATTTTGAGGACCATCTTGCAAGGGTTGAAGAACAGAATTCAGCATTCATGGATATCAAATCCTGGATTTTCTGGCATTTTTTTATTGGTTGAACTATAACACATGATTTCTCTGCACCACTACAATCTCTGACACTATTTTGAACCAAAACCAGAAGTGACATCCCTGTTAATTTCTATCACTTCCTAAACCTTGTTGTTTTTGGAGAGGTACTGTATTTTTAGTCAACCACCTTGATAAGATTTCATTTGATACTTCTCAAACAATATCCTCAGCTGGGCCATTACGTCTGCTTTCTGTGCTTGTTTGTCACTGAACATTTTCGTAGCATTTATAAAGTTATTATAACCTTAGTGTGTGTTTATTTTTAGTCATTTGTAAGTTTCACGTTTGCTGACCTTAAGACAATGCTTTGTTAATTGAAATTGTGCTTCCTATTTTATTTAAACAGTTTGTAAGAATAGAAAATTGTTAAATTGATTAATTTAAGAAATTTTGTTTAATGGTTATGTAAATGCACACACAATTCCGTTTAACCTTGACAAAACCTTGCCTTTTCTCCTATTGTGACATTTTGCCAGTGCAAGGAGAGAAAAGCAAATAATCTTATCTTGTGCATCTTGTTTTTTAAAACAAAACTGTAATTTTTGTTTGGATACTAGCAATACTAAACTGGAAATCTCTTTCTTGTATTTTGTTTTGATCAGATGATCGTAAGAAGATTTAGCATTGTTTTCAGGCAAAATGCACTGATGGAAAGGGTTTAACACTATCAGGGATAGAAACGCCTGCTGAAGTTTTCTTGTGTTTTGAAAAGACACCTGTTGAAACACTGTCATTATTTGTAATTTTTAAGTTTAACTTAAAGTTTATGTAAAAACCCATGATTTGGGCTTAAAGCTGACACGTTTATTTCAGAACAACTAGTTCATCCGTCCAGAAAGTCATCTCTACAAATCAGAGGAAAGAGCCCTACATGAGGCATTCAAGCTGTATAGTCCAAACATACTCTCCGCATCCCAGTAGCACTACCTTTTGAGCCCAGACGTTGAACATGCGCTCCACAGGCCCAGAGAGCCCATCTATGACTGAGGAGGCCCTGTTGCACGGACAGTTCGGCGGTTGGAGCAGCGGAGGAGGAAGTGGAAGTAACAGCAACAGCTGCCCCAACAGCCCTGGAGGTGTTTCTTTGCCTTCCAGCCCCGCCTCTACCAACTATGCCCTGACCCTCACGCCAACACACATCCATGTCCAGCGGTTGTCTCCACGTGTGGGGAAGCAGTCCAGGCTGATCCTGCCACTGGCGGAACTGACAGGATGCAGCTGCCCGCGTTTGCCGGCCCCTCCTTTGCTGGTGCTTTACTGGTACCCTCCGGGTCGTCGCCGGAAAGGCGTCTCCAGACGCAGACAGGTGAGGGCATACTTGGCAGAGAGCAGAGTTGAGGCGGAGAAATGGAACACTGCCATACAGAGCCTTCTGAGGGGGATGGATGTCAGCTCCACTACAGGTGGGTGTCAGGGTTTGATCATTCATAAATGCTTTGTCTCAGGTATGTCTATGCTTTTGTTAGTGGGAAACGTTTAATGTACCCCCTCAAAGTTTTCACTAAATAGAAAAAATGCCTCCAGATGCTGCTAATTCTTCAAGACAGTGCTGTTGCGTTAATGGTGTGTCATTAGTTTGTGTGTTGTAAATAGGATGCCACTTTGATTTCTTCTGTAGTGAGCTAAATTTATGTGAGTATGAATCATGTCTGTGCATTTAGTTTTGTAAGAGTTTAACGGTTCCCTCCTGCTCCTTTTTTCTGTTTTTGCACTCATAATGTGTACCACATGCTGTCATTGGCGGTCAGAGAATGGGTGGGTCTGCGGCAGGGAAAATACAGCCTGAATTGAGTAGTGCATGTAATTCGGTAGCAATACACCAGGCTTTATTGACTTTAACAGATGCTGCTGTCCCTGTTTTTAACTGCTGTGCTGTAGTTAGTTGTCAGTGCTAGTGGTTGCAGCTCAGTAAATCGTTATATGATGTTGATAAGTTTGTTGGCTTGTTAGTTTGTGTTAGGAGTGCAGATCTTGATATATATATATATATATATATATATCTTGGTATAGTGGTTCTAATGGTGTGAAAATTTAAATACACCCCATTTCTTTTAAAATTATTTATTTATTATTTTGGCTAAAATGACATTTGATCGTCCTTTCAATTATGCTGGTAGGTAAAACTTGGATGTTTATTGATTAACATTAAAGCAACAATGAAACAAACGTACAATCAGCTTTTTAAACAAGAAAAACCAATGTTACATTTATGGGAAAAGTTGTGAAGGAATTGACAGGAAAGTCTTGCCTCAGTTAATTTCAAAATACATGGGTCAACCATCTGAAAAAGGCAGCACAAATGTGACCCACATGGGAGGTTTAGGAAGAAGTTTTGATCTTAACAAAATGCCAGATAACATCTAGTTTAAGATCTTGACCGCATATTCACTGTGTTCTGGATAAATGTGACCTTTCCCAAATTCCAATCTTAAAAAGATAACGAAATGCTCTCAAATGCCATCCAGTTGAACCATTAATGTAAGAAACTCTAAGCGATTGTTTTATTTTGTTGAATAAAATATGGAATTTGTTATTGGATAAATTCCTTTTTCATCAGCATTTTTGAAATGAAGGTCAGATATGTGATCTTGAGGTGAACTTATTTTTCACACCTGCTAAAAACATTTATGGTCTACTTTCAGATGGTTTAGGATGTGGCTTAGTGTTGTTTTCAGCCTTAAAATTAAGGCCTTAACCTCACTTGCTTGTTTTTGCTCTCTTATTGAGCAGAATTTTGTAAAAGCATGTTGCCCCGTCCCCGTCGACTGTTGCTGCTGGTCAATCCATTCAGTGGCAGGGGTCAGGCAATGCAATGGTGTCAAACGCACATACTTCCAATGATAAGAGAAGCCAACATCAGCTACAACCTCATACAGACAGGTAAGAACAACACACACAATCACACACATACAGTTGCAAATGGTTCAAAATATATTTTTAAGTGCTCAGACCAACAGTACTCAGAATTTGATTGATTGCATTGAATGGATGTGATGTATGTGGTTTTGTTGTTGAACAGAGCGTCAGAATCATGCATGTGAGATAATCAGAGAGATCTCGTTAACAGAATGGGATGGAATCGTCATTGTTTCTGGAGATGGACTCTTGCACGAGGTAAATATCAAAACAATCATGATTGCTTTGTCATATATATTTAACTTATTACAAAGCCCATATAGTATCTACTTTTTGCAGGAAATTTGTTTGGTAAATTTCTTGGAACATCTGTGGAATTCTGTATAATTGATTTAAACATGGTAAAACATGTTAAACGGCTCTTATCGGTAGCTGAAGACATGACCAAATTAGCAAAAATATTTAATAACTAGAAGCAGAGGATGTTTAGAACATTCTGAATGACACAAGTTTGATTTATTTAGTACCTGACTGATCTACCACAGGGTTTACTTTCCTTTCCTTTCCTTTACTTTAGTTTACTTTATACTTTATTAGTAAATTTTAGTTTACGTTGTGGAAAATTGTCTCTGTCACAGACAACATATGAATACACATAAGAAAGCATGCAGTACACAATAATTTATGGGGGGAAAATAGTCACTTGCTTTTAAGACAGCATTGGGCATGAAAGATAATTTATAAACAGGTTACACTTTAGTTTAGGGAACACATATTCACTATTAACTAAGATTTTTCCCTCAATAAACTCCTATATAGGTGCTTATTAATAGTTAGTAAGGTAGTTGTTAAAGGTGCTATAGAATGGAAAACTGTATTTACCTTGGCATAGTTGAATAATAACAGTTCTGTACATGGAAATTACATACCGTGAGCCTCAAACACCATTGTTTCCTCCTTATGTAAATCTCGTGCATGCAAAAGACCACTGAAAAATAGGCGAATCAGAACATAACACCGACTGTGACGTTACAGTCGGGATCACTAATAGTTACCCGCCCATGTTCTTTGCCAGCCGCCAGCCGATCTTGCACAGCCGAATCATCAGAAGTTCTGCAGGTATTGTGAAGAAACAAGCGAGGATAATAGTGAAAATGGCAGATCATGGAAATAAATGTTATGTTCCAGGCTGTGCAGGGGATGTGATGTACAGGAATGGGTTGGTGTCTGTATTCAGAAAGGCACGGAAAACAAATAACGCAAGCCACTAAAGGGACATGGTTAGCTGCTTGCTAGCTTTAGGCTGTTACATTACAGTACATAAGATATCACTTACCAAATAAACGGAGTAAGGAGAGATGACCAAGGATGATGGCGAATGATTTACAGATCCTGAGCACCACTGACAAGCATCTGATCTTGTAAAATGTGTGTTAAGTACTGCCGCTGTAGTTAACACAGCACATGCGATCGCAAATCTTGAACGTGAAAGTAAAAAGCGATCATGCATTCGAATATATTAATAGCGGCTCCCCGATGCCCGCATTTTATATACAGTATAATTACCCAACGATATAACTGCGAGAGAGTATTGAAATATATATTTTCCCTATGTTTCCTTCCTGCTGTGTGAACTACTGAAATGAGCGGCACTGTGAAACAGCCAATCAGAGCAGAGCAAAACATTATTATTCATGACACTTCCAAATAAGGTAAAAACAGACCATTTCATTCTAGGGACAAATCCTAGGGTTGTAAATGGACATGTAAAACCGTTTCTGGAGATTTTTTGCCCTTAACTAAGCCACATACCTTCTATGTAGATATCAGAGAACAATTTAAAATATTGTATCAGTGCATTCTATGGCACCTTTAAGTTTAGGTATGGAGTAGGATGAAGGGATCTAAAATATGGTCATTCAGAATAAGGCATTATAATACTAATAAACAGCCAATATTCTAGTTATAATATAACTTAAGCAAGTAGTGAGAATTGGTCCTTAAAATAAAGTGATACTGATAAACTTATCACATCGCTCGTGGTTGCCTACAGCATCTCCCTGATGGCAATGGATGAAGTTTGCCATGAAGGGGGTGAGATTCTGACAATTAGCGCTTTATCAACAGTAACCAATAGGTCTGAGAGGAAATCTGCAAATTCTTTTAGGAAATCTCAACTACCTTTAAGCCATTTGCTTGAATTTACATCGATAGAGTTCATTCAAATGTCTCTGTGTCTTACCTATTATCTTACTTGCTTCGTTCTCAATCTTGGACAGCTTGACTCTATTTACAACACTCAGATGACCATACCACAAGATCATGTTAAAAATCAGAATATTTTCTAAAAAAAATTTATAGACCATTTCAAGTATATTCTATGTAAAAATAAGATGATTTACATATTAATCTGTGTCCTCTTTTTGCAGGTGATAAATGGCCTCATGGAAAGGCCAGACTGGGAACAAGCAATAAAAACTCCTCTGGGAATCCTTCCTTGTGGCTCTGGAAATGCACTTGCTGGTTCTATCAACCACTGTGCAGGGTATGATGAAGTGTGCTTGAGCTCACCTGGGACACATTGTGTGAAAATCTCCAGTTCTTCAGAGAATCTCCCTTATTTTTAAAGGAACAGTTCACCCCCAAATTTAAATTGTCATGATTTACTCCCCCGCATTTCAAACATATATGTTGTTATTTTTCCTGTCAGCTCTCACTGTACGGGAAATAATTCTGTGAAGAATCTTTAAAAATGATTTATGTGTATGGAAAAACAATAGCATTCTGTTCCATCTATAGAGATAAAAAAATTATATTTTGAATTTTTTTGTGTCGGTGTACAAAAAACTAGCCTTTTCTGTTATTATGATAAGTTTCATATATTTCTCAAGGGCTGTTTGCTCTAGTGTAGTATATTGGTTGCAATGTACCTACTTTTACACTCATAGGCAAGATCCATGTAATGCAGAGGTGATGATTCATTGCAGTATTTGAATAATTTTTTGAGTCATGTTTTAAAGTCCCCCTGTAGTCAAATATTTTATCCCTTAAAACTTATCTTTGGTCATCAAAATGACGTATTTAAATGATTTTTCTTGTGAAAATAATTTTCTCATGCCTTAAAATAGCTTGAATGTAACTCTACACCCTTGCCTCATTTACTATACGCGGATCTATGAATATGCAAATTAGTCCCGCCCCCACTCAGTCACACACCAGCCAGCGCCTCCTGATCCACTGAACTGTAGTAACCGCAAAACAATGGCATACACGGATAATGACTGATAAAACTATGTTTTTACTAGCGGACAACTACAGTGAATACTGTAACATTCGTTAAAGTTACTTACTTGGCGATGTTGTGTCCTAAAATGCCTTGAAGACTCGAATGCAGCCGTTTGTGATTGTTAATTCGCGCCCGCGAGCGTGTGTGAAGTGCA